ATATATGATGGTATCAAGTACTGTGTGTGCAAGTGCTTACCTAGCCGTATATACCATGACAGTGAGAGAAAAATACATGTCTCTTGTCTCTTATGTATGTCTTAGGCATTGTGTACAGTATAACTGTATACGCTGGCTTATTTGGGTAACTATGTGCAACAGATATTTTTATGTCGGTTCCTGTCGGTTCCACACACGCCCCCCCAAACAAAAAGTTGTGTGTGTTTGTGTGGGCTTCCTTAAGTTTATTGCAATTATATGCATGTGCCTCTTTTGCCATATAAAATTCCAATTATAATTTGGAGTTACTATCTTAATTTTAGACTGAACCTTGTTTATTAGCGGGTTATTAAATCTGCGTGTTATTATGTTTGGTTTGCCTTTCATTCATCTGCACTGGATGATCCCCTTTAACCTGGAGGGCCAGAGCTGATTCCACTAGTGTGTGAAGTTGTCTATTGATTTTCTCGAATGAGAACAGTGGCGCATCTCTGGCCGGTGGCTTGTAACACATGTGGCCACCCTGCTGCTGGAGCATCCCAGGGAGATGAGCGCAGAAACCTAACCAGTTGTGGTTTTTTTTCTTTTCTGTTTCCTTGCAGTGTTCAGAGGGCGATGATGCTCCAGTAGTTTTCCCTGCTCCATTCCTAGGCATCGCTTTGCTTTCCTTCCAGGGAAGATCATTCCGCTTGTGATCCTGCTGAGGAAAGAGACTCCGATGGACTTACACCGGGCAGCGTTCAAGATGGAGAACTCACCCTATCTCCCCAACCCGCTGGCCTCCCCAGCACTGATGGTTCTCGCCTCCACCGCCGAAGCCAGCCGTGATGCTTCCATTCCCTGCCAGCAGCCGAGACCTTTTGGTGTCCCCGTGTCAGCAGATAAGGACGTGCATATTCCCTTTACCAATGGTTCATACACTTTTGCCTCCATGTATCACCGGCAAGGTGGGGTGCCAGGAGCGTTTGCAAACCGTGACTTTCCTCCGTCCTTGCTTCACCTCCACCCCCAGTTTGCACCCCCCAACCTGGACTGCACCCCGATCAGTATGTTGAACCACAGCGGCGTTGGGGCTTTCCGCCCCTTTGCATCTACTGAAGACCGGGAGAGCTACCAGTCAGCCTTTACGCCGGCCAAGCGCCTGAAAAACTGCCATGACACTGACTCACCCCATCTGCGCTTCTCGGACACTGATGGGAAGGAGTATGAGTTTGGCACGCAGCTCCCTTCCAGCTCCCCCGGCTCCCTCAAAGTTGATGATACAGGGAAGAAGATCTTTGCTGTTTCTGGCCTCATTTCTGACCGGGAGACCTCATCCAGTCCTGAAGAGCGAAGTGACAGATGTAAGTACCTCCATTGACTTGTTGGTTCTTCTTTTGTTGCGCCTCATGGAGATACTCAACAGGTGCTTGTCCTGTAGTGCTGTGGTTCTTGCTGAAGGCAGAGGAAAGCCGGCCTTTCCTGCCTGCCCAGCTCATCCACGCAGTATTGCCTTGTCTCTTCCAAATGGACACTGACAGATTTTAAGGTGAGGGGCTCTTGAAGGAAACTCATCTTCCAGCACACAGCTGGAGAGAAAATGTTGACCATGCAGAAAGCTGTCCATGGCCCGGTGTGAGGCTATAGATGCTATACACGTGTGTAAACAGGGATGCAGCTGGAGTGTGTAGCCAGAAACTTTCCCAGAGCTGGAACCCCCCTGGTTCTTCAGGTATTGCTTTCTGACCTTTTCTTCATGCACACCGTTCTTAAAGCAGATGCATCACCTTCAGGATTCATGCCTCAGGTTAAGGCAAAAGTACCTTTTCCTCTGATTAACTTCAGAATATTTCTAGCCACCGAGCTCCCTCTTCAAGACACAACCCCAAATTTATTCTTAAAATTCAATAAGCTCCTGCACCATGTGCTTACTCTGAGTGTTCTCCCGCTTCAGTGCCTGTTGAAAGGTGATGTGCCCTTTTGCAGATCGGTGGTTGGACTGAAGAAAACCAGTTCAGACGCTCGTGCCTGTAACTCCCTGTTCCCCCATCACCTCATCCCTTGTGATGTTGCCTACAGAAAGGGGCAGAGCTGTCCTTCTTGAAGGGTGGGCTTCCAGCTTTACTGAGCTGGGAGTTGACCCACGGTGGGGGGTGGTTTGGGAGCAGCAGAGCATGGTACCCTGAAGAAGAGCACTAACTTATGATTAGAGTCTTCCGATAAACCCACACGTGTAGACCAAGGAGCGAGTGGTTTGCTTTTCACATGGGCTCCTTTGTTCTGTTGAATTTTCTTCCTAGGAACCAATTTTGTTATTATTGTTGTTATTATTATTACTTTTCTTTTTTTCCAACAAAAACCCGCTGCACCGCTCCTGTCTGTCCTTTTCAGACATGATTTTTCTTCTCCCCTTTATGATGCCGAGGAGAGTAATAGAGACATTGTGGCTCTCTCTCCCCTGTCGGCGCTGCTTCCTCAGTCTGTCTCCTTGAATTAGGCACTGTGCTAACTTACCGGTGCTAAAAGGCATCTGCCTAAACCCAGCGTACCTTTTCCATAAAAGTCATCATAAAATCAACCTGCCTTGTAAATCCATCGCTCTTTGGTTTTGAAATATGCTGCAAGTGTGTCTTTTATGTTGGCGTTTGCGAGGGTAGGACGATTCCCACCAAAGGCAGAAGCTGTGTATTCCTTGCACTATGAATGTGATCTCTTATCTGTCTCCCCCCTCTCCTTCTGATCCACCCCTGACTGTGCTACTTTTTGTGCCGTAAGCTCCTGTCATTGTTCAGCATCTCCTCTCCCTTCTTTTGGGTCCGTAGGGGAAGCGTCTGTAGGTGGGAACGCGTATGGATGCGTACATGTGTAAGCTGGGAATGTAATTATCCTGGGGGGGAGGCAG